ATATGTGTGTGTATACACATATGTAGTTTTTTTTTTTTTGCGTTTGGCTTAGTGTTATGTTAAAATCATTATTATACTCTTATACCATTTGTTCTTTAATATTTTGAATTGTTTTTAGCTGCGAAGGAGGAGGAGGAGGAGGAGGAGGAGAAGAGGAAGAGGAAGAAGAAGAAAGAAATTGGTGACTGTCATGGGCTACATGCTTGTTTATGCAACAGCAAAAATTATAGCGAAAAGATGCTAATAAACTAGGATGAATTTCTTTCTGTGGTGTCTGCTCTACATCACCAGAGACTTCAGAGCCTCAGTCTATGAGGTCAACTGAATCTAGAGGAAGGAATGCAGGAAGGAAACAAAGAAAAGGGAAAGAGTGAGAGAAAGTGGCCTTGCACACTGTAAAATCTCTGTTCTCGTCAATTCCAGAGAGAAGAAAGAAGCCCGCAAGTAAGACTCCAGAAAAGGTTGAGGTAGTTGAGCTCCCTCTCCCTGCCTCTCTACCAAAAAGAGAGGGATACACTTTCTGAGAGCAGATTGGAGGGGAAAAGCACTCAAGTTCTGGAAAAATTATGGAAGCATAAAAAGCCCATGCTGGAAATATTTGACTATGCCAAGATATAAAAGGTAAAAGGACCATCTGTGCCATTTGCATCCCGCTCTCCCTGGTTGTCTCTGTGGCGCAGCAGAGAAAACCATCTCGCAGCAGATGCCGATGGAACGCAAACATACAAGTTAGTGATGCTGAGAGAGCTTGTGTGTCCAATCAGAATGAGCCTCAGAGATGATAAATATGCATTATAATGTGCTGCAAGTTGCAAGTATAACCATGGCAACTGTCCCAGCCTGTTTTGCCTATGCAGTGTTGTTTGTGGTGAGTGGTGAGTTTCCTTCCTCCATTACCATAAAGACCATGGCATAAAGAAGATTCGCTCTCAAATTATGAATGTTCCTCAAATTTGAATTTGATCCGTTTCTTGAAAAAATACACAAGATAAAACATTGAATACAAGTGATGAAAATGAATACAAGTATGGTGTGCATTGTGCAACACTAAAGAAATTCAAGGACATAAACCCTGTTGCTAAAAACCTGAGAAGCATCAAGAATCATTTTAGAGTCAGATACAGGCCCACTGAATCAAATAAGAATCCAATCTTGAGGAACCTAAAGATTTTCAACCCTAATAGGTAAGGGTCATTGTTATTTTCTATATTTTGGGCTCTGGTTTGGCACTTTCACCAAAAGCATAATTATTTCTTCCCAATTCATGAATTATACACACTTAATTCAATAATAGAGGTTCTCAACTGGTGTCGTCGTAACCCAAAAATGGATCACAGGTCTGTTCTGAAATTTTTGCCGAAAGTAGGGTAAAAAACTCTGCTAAATGCAAATATAAAATAATAATGCTAAGTTATAAATAGACTTATTAACTTCTAAAAGGAAGGAAAAAATGCTTCCCATATCTTTTATTGTTGACATCAAAAGCTAAGCATCAGTGTATTTTACTGCAAATGTAAATGTCATTTATTATCAATCAAATTTTGAGCACAGTGTTTGTTTCAATGTTAATTTATTCAATCATTTAATAAAAATGCTGTCAATTTAATAAATTTTAGCTGACTTTGCTGTGCCTGTTTGTTTGTTTTTTGCTGCGAAATTGTTCATAATTGATTAATTGGGACACTTTGACACTTTCTTTTGAGCAATAAACAAGTTTGGTACTATGTTGGGTCACCACTTGGTGTCCAATATAAAAACTTTGTCCTGGAGCAAAATCAGCTGAGAACCACTAGCCTACAACTCATTATGCTAATCTGGTAGAAACTTCACTTGGCGACACAGCGTGACTTAGTAAAATAAGTAAATTTAATAAACCACAAATTAAGACTTTCTGCAGTTATTGAATGAAGGCGCTCAACAACATATTCTGAAATGATAAAAAGAAAATAAATAAAATGAAAACACAGACAGTCTCAGAATGGGTGTGTGGGTGGAAATTAGTCACAGAAGAGTAAATGCTCAACACAAGAAAACCAAACGATGGGTAGAGTATACAGAGAGAGAGAGGGAGGGAGGAAGAGAGAAGTGAGGGAAAGCTCGAAGACTTCCAGTAGATGTCGGCTTTGACGGATAAATAATGAAGTGACATGATGCCAATGCAGAAAGAGACAAAATGCAGCTTACTCGTTTAATGTTTTTGGGGCTGATGAATCTCCTAAGGGCTGAAATGAGACATACAGTATGTTCCTCTCGCCGAGGTTCTGCCTTTACACTAATGAATCACATCATCCAGCCATAGAGGATTCGATAAGCCTATAAAAAGCTTTAGCTCAGGCATCACTGTCTGAAAGATTGCTTCAAGGTTGCTGGATGCTGTTACATTAAATTCAATTGTTTTAGCTCAGAAGTGACATAACATTAAATCAAGGATGGAGGAGAAAGCCACAAATCTTCTCATTTAGTCAATATCAGCTTCTTGTTAGAACAGACAGGTAGCAGAACACAAAACATGCAACCGTGTTTGCAAGATATTTGAGCTGCTCCACATTTCAATGACAGAAAAATCAAATACAGAATAGCAAACTAGTGCCTGTTTACATGGAAAAAACAGCGCAGATAAAAGAATACAAGAATGTAACCTTAAGGTGGTTAGTTTGTCTCCTATCCTGGCGTAGCTTGCTAGATTTGTTTGTTTTGCTAGTTTTAGACAGGTTTTGGGCACTAGTCAGCTGGTAAGGCCGGAAAACCAACTGGCTGACCAGCTAAACCAAGTTAACCAGGTTGGGAGACTAGCTAAATTAGCTACGACCAGCAAACCACATCATTCAAGAACACTAGTCAGCTGGTAAGGCTGGGATACCAGCTGGATTACCAACTAAACTGGCTTAACCAGGCTGGGAGACAAGTTAACTTATCTAAGAATGGGAGACAAGCTGGTCAGTCAACTAAACCAGCTTAACCAGGCTGGGAGACTAGCTAAATTGGTTAAAACCAGTAAACCACATCATGCAAGAGCACTGGCTGGTAAGACTGGGAGAACAGCTGGTTGGTCAACTAAGTCAACTGACTAACCATATAGCTGACTGAACAAGTTCGACGAAGCTAGAAGACCAGTTAAGCCATCTTAAACCAGCTACGACCTGCAAATCACCATCTAATGGGGTTTAGAAGAGCAATGACCTTGTTTATCTTCATCAGACCACCTCAGGAGAAGCCCATAGATTAGAGTCCGGTAATGCACATCTTCACCACAGCAGGCGGATGGCATGACACAAGACACCCTCTCGTATTCTAAATCCCGTGACGCTGCCTCGTAGCAACGCAGTCTTCCAGCCGCTACCAGCATGATGCTCGTCATCACTCACATGAGTCAGATAATGCCATAAACTAATGGAATAAATCAAGGATGAAATATCAATCAAATTACAAACTAATAGTTCCCTTAATGTCTTTGTTGGAGTACAGATGGCCCCTTCAGCCAACCAAGCACACCACAGCAAGTCATCATGATAATCAGCGCACTAATAATACCACTCCATTAATCACACATACGCGCTCGAACTGCGTCGCTGCAAACAATGGGTGCTCTGCCGCAGGAACGTCACAAAGTTGAAGCATGGTAACACTCACTCATTAAACTGGTAATTAACTCTAGAAGTCATGTTTATTGTTTTAAAAAAACTACAAGGTAAGTTTGTGAACGCTGCTGTTCCCTTGGCTTCTGCATTCAGTGATCTTCATTTCCAGCAAAAAAAAAAATAATAAAAATAAGGGCAACAAGCTGATACTTACATTTAGCAGGAAGGTCGTAGCCACAGGTGATTTTGGCTTTTCCAGTCTCACAGCCGTTTAACGAGTGGCACTCATCATACAGGAGATGACCCGCGGCTCTGTGTATGCAGCCATCCACTGAAAGAGAGAAATACAACACTGATGTGACAACAGAAACATTTGTTGAATTTTTTTTTCTGGCTGAAATAAAAATTCACGCTCATGTTGTTCCAAAACTACAGAAGAAGAATGGTCACACAAAACAACAGTTCATAGCCTGTGACAATGGACTTTCTATGTCCAATAGGGGAAAGAAAAAAAACATTAAGAAAAAAATATATATTATATATCATGGTCAAAATCTTCAAAATTTCTCCTTTTGTGTCACACAGAAGACAAATGCATTCTGGTTTGGAACAATATGAAGAAATTATGATGATTTAAATTCTGTGCTGAGCTATTCTAATAAATTAAGGTTTTTAAAATAAAACTGAATTTATACAGGCCTCAACAAAATAAAACAAAAACACTTAGAAATATGTTGTCAGCCCTTGTAGAAGAAGGTATGACTCTTGAACTACTGATACTAAAAAGTTCTTCATATCCCCAAACACTGTTGATTTGTATAAAATGAATGTCTTTTGTCTTGAAGCTTTTGTTTTGTGTTGTTTTCCCTTGGCTGTTCCCACCTCCCAATGTTTTAATTTCACATGGTTAAGCCCAGGATGCTTTTGACTGATAGTACAGCTTACATGAGTAGGCAGAGAAATAGAAATCCAAACGATTTCCCTCCCTCTAAAGCCCATGACCCATTATCAATCACAGAGAAACATCATAAAGATACAGTCATAAGAAAAATGAATAAACCTGCAAAACATGTAGCAGAAATACAGACGCATAGCTCCAATACTCTATTCTCAAGAAGATCATTATAAAGAGAACATGAAATTAAAACTGACCCCATTTACAATATGTGCACGTCATTCCGAAGGAAAAAAAAAGTCTTCATAATCTTTCATTGAAATGTAATACCTCTTTCAATATCTGAAAAAAATGGGGAGGGGGGAATTAAAGTAGCATTGGCACATAACTTTCCTGCAACATATACAGTATGTTTGGACATTAATGATATGTTAAATGGTGCATTTTTGATGAGAGGTGTGCTATTTTCTTTCTAAATCAGATTTTTATTTAATGCATAGCGGACAAAATAACAAAAACGTCAACCGCTTGGGGTCTCTGACATATTTAGGACAAGAACAAACTATTTTTCACATAAAGCATAAAAATCCAGTTACATAATATTTCACACCAAAATGTCACATTATTGACATTAAATGAGTTCAAATGGTGTTCATGTTGACTTTGAACAAATGAAGACAAATCATTCCTGTGTTAAAAAAAGCTTCACAACCTGTGATTGATTGAACACCCCAACCAACAGGTCGTGATACATGTGACCTAAATGTATGTTTTAGCTGCTGCCACTGATCTGGTTTGCAGAGAGATGAACAGCATGTCATAAAGGAGATCAGTCTCAGTACGCTAATGACACAAGCGGATGAGAGGCAATAAAGATGACAGACAGCCTGCTGTTACAGAAGAGAGGCTAAGCTTGAGCTAAATTTCATGATCGACCTGATCCACTCGCTCATTCATTGTGCAATGACGTTGTAAATGAGTGCGAACAGCTTCGGCCAAAAAAAAAAAAAAGCCCCATTTTCCTTGCTCTTCTTCCTTGTCAGAAACTCTACTCAAGTTGACAAAAACTACATACAGGTTTTTTCGTCACAATTTTCTTTAGATCAGCATTGATGGAGAGATCGCTCAAGTTCAACAATATAAATTTTGTACAACAGCTCAATAAAAAAAAGAAGTTAATAAGAAACTTACATTTTAGAGACAATATTACTCTGTCTACTCCTGTTGTGTCAACGAAAACAGTTCCAAACAATGGCAAAACAGTACTCCCAGCAACAAACAGTATTTGTGTTTGATTCCTGAATGAATCAGCGTTTTTGAACAATTCAATTTTTGTGAACGATTCAGTGACTCACTCAATAAAGAGAGTTGTTTGTTCCATTCCTGAATGAATCAGTGAACAATTCAATGCTTCACAGATGGACTTGTTCATTTCATGAATTTTGGTTTTATTTTTCAGCTTGTTGATGTTTATACAAACTCAAAGACTCATCTCCTGAGACACTGCACAAAGGAACAAAATGTAACCAACACAATAAATCAGTGCAAATAGTTTTAATAAAGCTCAAATAGTCTTCAGTTTGCACATCTGTTAGGCTACATCTACACTAGTGCGTGTTCGTTTTTAAAACGGATAGCTCAGACAGAATCATGATTTCTATTTATTTTCCACTGATTTACTGATGAGCATTAGCAGCTTCCAGCGCTGTCTGCTTGTGTTCTCTCTTCCATGATCACTGCTCTGACTCAGAGGTAATAACATTTAATTTCAGCAACATTACATGGCCAAAACACAAATTAGACCGCAATCGGAAGTTATTACAAACACTTGATGGTGGTTTAAAATGAGTTTTGAGTAAAAGCGGAATATAAATCTTATTTATTGTCTTATGTAGCGTGATGCTACAGTTTGCATGAATCCTCACACTGATCGATCTGCGCCGTACCTCTTCTAGTCGAACACACCGGCTAGTGCTGCAGGCTTATTGGCTCACTGACGCTGATGAGATTAACCCCTTAGGTATCGAAATTTGGTACCGAATGACGAGACGTTTTTCAATACTCGACGGTATCGAGGCAATTCGGTCGGTGCCTAAAAAGTATCGACCTCGATACCAAGCCCTACACACCTATAAGTCATGTGTTTTGTTCATAAAATAATTAGTGTTTTGAAGGAATTGGTTCAGAGAATGATTCATTGATTCACTCAAACATTAATTCCTACTGGAATTAGGTCGTGTGTCCACCAAAGCATTTTTAGCTAGCTAAAAATACCAGGCGCCAGAGATTTTCTTACTATAAGGAGATGAGAGGGTCTGTATTACTTACTGTGATGAGTGGGGCGGGGCCGAGAGCCGTGGGAACGGAGCGAGGCCGGTGGAGTAATTGATAATGAGCGACACCTGCACCACTCACCGGTCTCGAGTCCCACAGAGGAGCTCTGGAAGGATAAAAGGAGGAGCGACGACAGTGAAAGACGAGAGAGGACCAGGCCTGGACTTTATTTTGTGGCTCCCAAACAGAGGGATCGTGTACAGTCAGCAGATTATTTTGCACAAGAAGCCTCTGCAGGATGATAAAGACTACACTGCGTAATTTTCCCGCTTATCATGCGGCCACTTGTCTGATAAGTAAATAATTGAATGCAAAATATTAATTTGACATTTTAATGACCTCAACATGACTCGCAGTACTTGAGTGCTCCGTTATCAGTTGTAGCAGTTGTGGTTGTATCAATAACAGACCACTAGATGGCGCGATTGAAGAATTAGAGTTGTATTGCAGGCAGCCATTTAGAAATATAAATGAACGATGCATGGTTCTGCCCTAAGCATGTAAGTTACAAGTTTGTGAAAGGCCTTCCAGTGCCAGGTAAACGTAAAGCAGATTATGAATATACTTAAGATTCACAAATACCAAAACAACGTGTCTACACCAGACGCGAGCGGCGCGATTTGACAAAAGCAAATAGAACCCTGATGTTCTCTGCTGTGGATGCGGCGCGACGCAACATGACAAATCCATGACCGTAAACTGATGCCCCGTTCTATTTCTGATGAACTCCAGCGCTCTGACACAAAGGACCATTTCAAATATTCATAAGAGAATCGTGAAAAAAATTGTTCAAAAATATTAAGCAGCACAAATGTTTACAACATTGACAATAATCAGAAATGGTTACTGAGCGGCAAATCAGCATATTAGAATGATTTCTAAAGGATTATGTGACAATGAAGACTGGAGTAATCATGATGAAAATTCAGCTTTGATCACAGGAATACAGTAGCCTATATGTTAAAGCTTTCAAATATATAATTTAAATTGACAAAATTTCCCAATATTACAGTGTTTACTGTATTTTTAATAAATAAATGTAGCCTTGGTGAGCATAAGAGACTTTCCAAAAAAAATTTAAAAAAAGAGGGGGTGGTGAGGCCTTGAAAATATTTTTCTCTACAAAAGGGGAGCCCGGCAGAAAAAGTTTAGGAACCACTGGCCTACTCAAACACACAATATTTAATTTAATTTAAATCATACAGGCCTACCTCATGTTGCACGTTTGCCAATTTTGAGAAAAACAATGGCACAATAAAAAAATAAAATAAATAAAAAAACACTTTTCTTTGTCCAATCCCTCACTTTTTCTAGTTATATAAGGTTAAAATATTTTGCCTGTAATTATTTTTCTCATATATGGACAGTGTAAAATATTGTGATATGAATTTTAGCTCATATCACCCTCCCCTAACTGCTCCCATTGAAACCAATTGAAAAAATACACTAGCTTGGAGAAAAAAATGCTTTGGTGGACACACGGCCTTATGATGTAACCTAGCCTACAGAAGGAATCACTAACAATCCCTAATTAACAGACTGACAAAGTTCCACTGCTGCATATCAGCACTCTCAGCTAATCAAACTCTAGGACCAGAACCAACTATTGTATAATTTTAAACACTTTATAAAACAATGTCTACTATATAGCAGGCCTCTTACTCCGCAAACAACATTGCCGTAAAAACAGCATATTTTGCCACATGTAAAGTACATTATTACAGCTCTTTTGCATTAGCATTAAAGGTCAGTTGACTGTGAATCACGCCTATAGTGAATACGTCTGGTCAAGCACACCACAGCCTTTGAGAGATGAGTGTTACAGGAAGTGGAGCATGTTATTACAGATTGCGAGCACAGTTAAAAGGCAATAAATTTATGTAGTATGTTGAATAGGTAATCAACATGCATGTGTGAATGTTTGGGTTCAGCAGAAGAGAAGCATTTACGCAGGAAATAAACCCTCAGTAATGGCAGTCTGTTTGCAGAAGCGCATGAAGATGCGTTTACTCAAAAGTAATAATTAATAACGCTTAGCAAAATGCTTGTTTTTCATTAAGGATGGTTAAAAGAAAATATCATGATGTTACAAATCATCCCAT